AAACAATAATCCAATTCAAATAAAATCTACTAAGAGAAATATTGATAATATAATTGAACTTTTATACAAATAATCCCCAAGGACTGGTAGTACAAATCATGAGCTTCTAAGATTTAGAGTTTATAAAACTAGTATGAAATAAATACATCATCTGTTCGAAACGTACATAAACAGATTTTTATAAATCTACAGCTGCCATGAACAAGAGCCAGCTACAACCATAACGCAGGTACATCTACAGTGCCAGCTCCCGCCATACACAGCAACATCAACTCCAAAATCAGCACGCAAGGTGCGGAAGTATAGTATGAGTACAACCGATCCCATCTACTCAATAAGTAACAAACTTAACCTTAGGTTGATAACAGTGACGGGCTTGGACAACAGTCAGAGTCCAACACCAACAGCCAAGAACAACTCGTAACAATATAATAAAAACAGTACCAGTAATACTCAAAGATATGATGCTCATCTCGTTTATAGTTACGGAAAATATATGTTTTGCAAGTATAACAGTAAAACCCAAATCTTTCACCGAAGTCACCAAAAATATGAGTATGTCAGAAAATTGTGATTTTTCCTAAAAACTTTGAACAACAGATAAGATGTTTCATTATCGGATGGCATGAGGAAAGTATATCTCTATGCCTACATGTTAATATGCATGTGAAGTCATGAATGTCACAATACCATACAACATGAGGAAATGCATCTCTATGCTAAATATGAGTTTCAATGATGAAAAATAATATATCACATTTGGTGTAGGATCACAAGGAATAAAATAAAGAAATCAAGACTCCCTATCATTCAAGTATGGACTAGGGGAAACAATCCATCAACGGTAATAAAGGAAAGAAAAAGTATCAATGACTAGCTATAAAAAAGGAAGAAGCGGCGAAAATTCGGAAGAAGAATCAATCAATAAATCAAAGGAAAATAAGAGTGCAAAGTTCTACACTGGAGATCGTTAAACCCCAAAATCGGGGATCCATTATCAATCACTCAAGTAACGAAAAGATTTGCCCAGCGGAAGAACAGCCTGTCAAGAATACATGTCAAGGAAGATCAACGGAAACCTAACCTTATTTTTGGAAAGAATCAATTTGCGATTCGGTTCAAGGATCAATTCCCTTGGGTTTGTAATCTCTCAAGATTCGCGTCAATCAAGAGTCAAGAAGGCCTCACGAAGTATATATACATCTGTTCCAGTCTAGAAGCAGATATACTTTGAATGAACCATTATCACTCTTTTTATTCTACTCCAAACAAGCATTATACTTCTTTTTAGATCTGTTGTGTAATTAGTGAGAGAAGAAAAGGAGATAAATACTGGCGAGGCATTGTATCAAGAAGGGAAAAGTAACATAGAAACTAAGTTGTTGGTGTAAAGCTACATCAACCAACTTATACTCGAGACACTTTAAATACTGAAAGAGATCACCCTTGCAACCCAAGGGGACTGGACGTAGGATTCATATTGAATTCGAATCAGTATAAAAATTCTGATGTTTATTTCCTGCATTTCATTTCTTTATTATTATTATTATTATTATTATTATTATTATTATTATTATTATTATTATTATTATTATTATTATTATTATTATTATTACAATTATTATTATTATTATTATTATTATTATTATTATTTTCTTATCTCTAGTCGACTAATTGGTAAACTAGTCAACTGCATAGAATACTGAAAATAAAAATCGTCAATTCACCCTCCCCCTCCCCTCTTGTACTTTCAATTGGTATCAGAGTTAGTCTCACACTTTTTGCTTAACAGCTTGTGAGAAAAGAACATGGCAAATCAAGTAACTGATGGAGCACTCTTTCAAGAAGGAACGTCGCAAGTCAGGCCACCATATTTCAATGGACAACACTTTTCTCATTGGAAAGTACAAATAGAAATATATGCAAAATCTTATGATGTCAAAGTATGGCGCGTTATCAAAAAGGGTAACTATCCACTACAACAGCAACTCAACCATCCGTTGATCCGGAAGATATATATGAATACACAAACGAGCAAATGACAGTTGTTCAGGTCAATGCTAAGGCACGGAATTTACTCTATAATGCTATAAGTGGAGAGGAGTATGAGAAAATCTCAAGTTGTGATACAACCAAAGAAATGTGGGATAAACTAGAAGTTACTTATGAAGGAACCAGCTAAGTGAAAGAAACTCACATAAACATGTTGGTTCATGACTATGAACTCTTTTAGATGAAAGAAGGAGAATACATTGAGGAAATGTTTGCAAGATTCAGTAAAACCATTAGCGATCTAAATGCCTTTGGTAAACCCTACTCAAGTGGTGATCAAGTTCGAAAAATTCTAAGGAGTCTACCTACCACTTGGCAGACAAAAGTAGTTGCACTCAAATCTCAAGATCTAAATAAACTTTCATATGATGAACTATGAGGAGATCTTATAGCATTCCAGAAAATACATCTCAAGAAAACAACCTAGGAAGAAAAGAAGAAAACGGTTGTTTTTGAAGCTACAACTGAAAGACCTGAAAATAATATTGATGACGACCCAGAAGCTCTTGAAGAAGAGATTGCCATGGTATCAAGAAACATGGATGGTTTAATGAGAAGATATAGAAACAAAAGAAGGGGAAAGATGCCACCCAAGCAAACCAGGCAATACAATAAACAAGACAAGAATGATGAAAAATGCTATGAGTGTGGAAGGTATGGGCATATTCAAGCTGAATGACCAGATCTTAAAAGAAAGGTCTCCAGAGGATTCAATAAAAATAAATCTTTCAGAAGCTGGAGTGATAAAGGCAGTTCAGAACAAGAAGAAATAGCAAACCTGTGCTTGATGACCATTTTGGAAAATGACATGAACAGATACTCGGGCTGCTGGACCGATGAAGATGCATCAGACGATGAATGCAAAGAAGATACTGAAAAAAATTTCATGGCATAAGGTGAAACAAGCGAGGTAAGATCTTATAACTGTGATAGATGTAATGAATTGCAGGATGTTCTTGACCTTACCCTAAAAGAGTCTAAAAAATTAATGAATGAACTAAGGAGACTCAATAGGAAAAGAAAGACTAGGAACTTAAGCTTGAAGTCTGTGAAATTGAAAGAGATATACTTCAAGATGAAGTTCAGGAACTGCAAATGCAACTTAATGACATGCGCAAGTCCACCCGTCACAGTTCTGTCAAGTCTAACCAGGTGAATTACAAGTCAACTGGAAAAGGCCTGGTTAGAACGGAGTCCACAGGTACTAACACAAGTGGTAGATCAAAAACTGGATCAGCCCCTATATGTCATTACTGTAACAAAATTGGACACAAATATTCTTTTTGTCGATTTCGTAAATTTAATGTTATAGAATGGATTTGGAAACCCAAAAACAATCCTGATCTTAGTAGAACTAACCAATAAGGACCCAAGAAAGCTAGGGTACCTAAAAGAAAGTGATAATTCTATTTTGCAGGAACACCACAGAAAGAACCGCAAAGTAAAATGGTACTTAGAAAGTGCGTGTTCGAGTCACATGACAGGTGACAAAAACCTGTTCAAAGAAGTTACTAAGATAGATGGAGGAAGTGTCAAATTTGGTGATGATTCAAGAGGAAAGATAATTGGCACCGGCACAGTTCCATTCAATAACAATTGTGATATTACTGAAGTATATCTTGTAGATGGACTCAACTACAATCTCCTGAGTATAAGTTAGCTATGTGATTCAGGGTACAAAGTTAAATTTAAGAAAACAGGATGCGCTATTGAAGATGAGTCAGGTAAAATAATACTCCCAGGAAAAAGGTATGGAAATGTTTACATTTTTTATGGCATTGAAAACCTAGATAGTCACATCTGCTTAGAATCTATATCTGATGATCCATGGTTGTGGCATAAGAAACTTGGTCATGCAAGCATGCCTCTAATTGAGAAACTCTCCAAGTATGATTTAGTTATTGGTCTTCCTAAACTCAATTTCTCTATAAATAATGTATGTGATGCATGTAGATTGGTAAACAAACTAGAAACTCCTTCAAAAGCAAAGACATTGTGTATACCACCAAGACCTTACAATTGCTTCACATGAATTTATTTGGACCCACTAGAACTGCTAGCATTGGAGGAAAACGATATGCTTTTGTTATTGTTGATGACTATTCACATTTTACATGGGTAATTTTTTTTTTCTCATAAAAATGAAGCTTTGAAATACTTTGAGATTTTTTGTAAAAGATTTGAAAGAGAAAAAGGGTACCTTATCACAATCATCCAAAGTGATCATGAAGGAGAATTCGAAAGTAGATCATTTGAAGATTTCTGCAATGATCAAGGATATACTCACAACTTTTTAGCTCTAAGATCACCTCAACATAATGGAGTAGTTGAGCGAAAAAATTGAACTCTACAAGATATGGCCAGAACAATAATATTAAAACATTCCCTGCCAAATCATTTTTTGGTAGAAACAGTAAGCACATCCTACCACATTCTCAACAGATGTCTTATAAGACTTATCTTGAAGAAAACTCCATATGAATTATGGAAAGGTAAACGGCCCAACATAGGCTATTTGCATCCTTTTGGCAGCAAGTGTTTTATCCACATAAATGGTAAGGAAATCTTGGAAAATTTGATCCAAGAAGTGATGAATGTATTTTTATGGGTTATTCCATAAATAGTAAATCTTTTAGAGTTTATAATAAACGTACTTTATCTGTAGAAGAATCATTACATGTCATATTTGATGAAAATAACACTACAACCGAGAAAGGAATTATTGCAGGTGATGAAGATATCAGCCAAGAAACATCACAGACAAGCGAATCTCATAAGTCGACTGATAATACAGACAGTGTCACAAAGTCGACTAATGAACCTATCAATAATCAACCAGAATCATAGAAGGAGTCAATTACTCATACGATTGCAACACGTCCAAATGAGTAGATAAGTGAATCAGAATATCCTCAGAAGTTTTATCATAAAGAGATCCAAGTGAATGAATGAAAACCAGGGGAGCTCTCAACAAAAAGGTAAATGTAGCACTCATATCTCAGATCGAACCAAAGAAGGTTGAGGAAGCATTAAAAGACTCCAGCTGGGTACAAGCAATGCAGGAGGAACTTGATCAATTTGATAAAAATCAAGTCTGGGAACTGCTAACTAAGCCTGCAAATGCTACTGTAGTTGGAACCAAATGGATTTTCAGAAATAAGCTAAATGAAGATGGAAAGGTTGTGAGAAACAAAGCTAGATAAGTAGCCCAAGGCTACTCACAGCAGGAAGGAGTCGACTATGATGAAATCTTTGCACTAGTAGCTCAACTAGAGTCTATACGGATTCTTCTTGCATATGCATCCTTCAAACGATTTAGACTTTTCCAAATGGATGTCAAAAGCACATTTTTAAATGGCTTTATTGATGAGGAGGTATATGTAAAACAATCTCCTGGTTTTGAAGACTCAAAATTTCCTTACCACGTGTATAAGTTGACTAAAGCTCTGTATGGACTTAAACAAGCTCCACGAGCCTAGTACGAAAGACTTAGCTCATTTCTACTTGACCATGGCTTTAAAAGAGGTAAAGTAGACACTACATTATTTATCAAAAGATCATCAGGAGGTAATCTTATTATTCAAGTCTATGTTGATGATATTATCTTTGGAAGTGCTAACCCTCTTTTGTGCAAGGAATTCGCTAGTCTTATGCAAAGTGAGTTTGAAATTAGCATGATGGAAGAGCTTACGTTTTTCCTTGTACTTCAAATTCAATAATCTGAAGAAGAAAACTTTGTGTGACAAATGAAATATACAAAGGAATTAATTCAAAAGTTTGGCATGAGCAGCGCTAAAGCAATTGGTACACCAGTGAGCCCGTCAACAAGTCTCGACAAGGACGAAAAAGGAAATTCAGTTGATGAAACTAAATATCGTGGAATGATTGGCTCTTTGCTTTACTTGTCTGTCAGTCGACCAGATATTATGTTTAGTGCGTATAAATGTGCCAGGTTTCAGTCAGCTCCTAAGGAATCGTACATGACTGCAGTAAAGAGAATAATTCGTTATCTCATTGGAACTATATCATATGGACTATGGTACCCACGTTCTAACAATTTTAAGCTTGAAGGTTTTTCAGATGTTGATCTTGCAGGTGATAACGAAGACAGAAAGAGCACTAGCGGAATATATCAATTACTGGGAAAGGCATTAATATCATGGAACAGTAAGAAACAAGGCTCAGTTGCATTATCCACAACTGAGGCAAAATATAATTCCATTGGGCAATGCTGTGCACAGTTACTATGGATATCTCATCAACTGGGTGACTATGAACTATTTTTTAAACCTATTCAAATATTTTGTGATAACTCTAGTGCTATATGTCTCTCAAAGAATCATGTGCATCATTCTAAGGCTAAGCATATAGATATTAAACATCATTTCATTAGAGATCATGTCCTTAAGGAAGATACAAAATTATCATTTGTTGGCACCACAGATCAATTAGCAGACATTTTTGCAAGCCTTTACTTGAAGATAGATTTTGCTCCCTAAGAGAACTACTTGGCATTATTTCGCTTGATCATAAAAATTAGGACCTATGTGTTAATTTTAATTCTTGCGTATCTAATGTTTTCAATTTTATTTTCTCTGTAAGTACGCATTAATTAAGCGCCTACGGTTTTCCTCTCTTTTCCCATAAATCGCAGCTTTCAAGAAAGAAAAATCAATCATCATGACCCTTCACTGACACCCTTTCCTTTCCTCTACTCAACCGTCAAAGTCCTTTCTTTTTAATCCTCTAAACCATCCTTTCGTGTCTTCATTGTTCTTATCGCTCAGAAACCCTTCTTCAAAATTCTCCAATGGCTAAACACTCCAAGAATCCTTCTGTCTCCACTAGAAAAAGTACTCGTTCTAAGGGAAACCCCTCTTCTCAGCCTCTAGAACAAGTAGACCTAGGGTCTGACCACTTGGAAGGGTTTGCCTCTTCTCAGGCAGAACTATCTGACCACTCTCACCGAATAGGCAAAAAATCTCTTGGCAAAAAGCCGATAGAAGGCCCCCTTAAATCTTTTCCCCCCAAGAAATCCAAAGTAGATATCTCGAGTTCTCTAGAGTCCGACCTCAATTTCTGGGATACCCCAAATAGGGATTTCTTTGTTGCTCTCACGTAGAGTAATCGATCTTGATGACATGTAGGCCTTAAATTGTAAGGTAAAGGATTTGTTTGTTTTTTAAGGATGGTCTAAATTCCTCTTTGTATCCCCTCCCAAGGTTTATGAACCTTTAGTGAGAATGTTCTATGCCAATCTACGTTCTAGCAAGCCTGATAAGTTAGAATCCCTAGTTCTAGGAAAACGCATTTTCCTTGATTGTGCCATGTTTGACCATATTTTTCAGTGTAAGTGCTCTGGCATTCCCATGCTTTTCAAAGATACTTGTCCTGATGACTTTGAAATTTCTTTTGATCTAGCAAAATGTTATATTTTTGAGTGTCCATCTGATTTCCTTCCTAACTAGTTAGGTCCCGGTGATGTTATTTTCGAAACCCGAGTTCTGGCCCACATTGTTGCAACTACTCTCCTTCCTCGCACTGGCGCATTCTCCACATTCTCTCAACGAGATATCTTTCTTGTCTACTGTATAGTGACCAAACTTAAAGGTTAAACTGTCCTCATGGGTCATAAACTTCATGATTGAAAGTGTTGATGATCCCACCAGTCATCCCTATGGTATGGCTATCACCCACATCTTGGAAGCCCATAACACCTCTATCTCAGAATACCATTTTGTCTCTGTTTCAAAGTCCTACAATTCTAGAGCCTTTGCCAGTAAGGGGTATGTGTGTACTAAGGGTTCCTGGGTGAAGAAACAATAAGGTGAAGTCAAGAATGTTCAGCCTGATTCTAAGATCAAAGCCTATGTTTCCCATCATAGTGTAGGTGATCCTGATCTTGTAGAGAAATTGACTACTATTGACAACAACTTGATCATCATCAAGGACCTTCTTGCTGCAACTCAATCAACGGTTGGGGATATCCATGCTATCTCCAAAGAGGCTGGGTTCGACGTTTCAAAGATAAGGGTCAAAATTCTCAAACTTGCAGAGAACGCAGTCAAAGCCTTCAAGGAAGTACATGACAGGATTGATGGAGTGACAGTTTCAGCTAATGCCAGCTTTGAGCGTCTAAAGGAGTCAATTTGCAACACTCTCACTTATTTCTTGCGTCGTTACTTGTGGATGTTTCAGACAATGTTTTTTGCCATTTTGCTATTTTGGACTGGATAACCAGTCACTGGATACTTTCTTTACTTTTTCTAAACTCTGCATGCCTATAGTTTGCAAATATTTTCCTATGATGTGCTTGTTTCTACTTATTTTCAACTGTATATATGCATGTCCCCTCTTTGCTGATGTCAAAAAGGGGGAGAAAAGATAGTCATACATTGTAGGACAAATAGCAACACTTGTTGAGGGGGAGTCGACCGAAGCATATGCAGCACATGTTGAGGGGGAGTTGACTACAGTGGAGCAAGCCAACAGGGAAGTAAACTGTTGTTTATATATATATATATTATTTTTGAAATCATCAAAAAGGGGAAGATTGTTAAATATGAGTTTCAATAATGAAAAATAATATATCACATTTGGTGTAGGATCACAAGAGATAAACAAAGAAACCAAGACTCCCTATCATTCAAGCATGGCCTAGGGGAAACAATTCATCAACAGAAATAAAGGAAAGGAAAAGTATCAATGACTAGCTATGAAAAAGGAAAAAGCAGCAAAATTTTGTAAGAAGAATCAATTAATGATTTGATAGATAATTGACGGAAGCTAGTATAGGAAAGTCCCAAAATCAAAGGAAAATAAGAGTGCAAAGTTCTACACTTGAGATCATTAAAGTACGAAATCAGGGATCCATTATCAATCACTCAAGTAACGGAAAGATTTGCCCAGCGGAAGAAAAGCCTGTCAAGGACACAAGTCAAGGAAGATCAATGGAAACCTAACCTTATTCTTGGAAAGAATCAATTTGCGATTCGGTTCAAGAATCAATTACCATGGGTTTGTAATCTCTCATGATTCGCATCAATCAAGAGTCAAGAAGGCCTCACGAAGTATATATACGTATGTTCCAGGCTTGAAGCAGATATACTTTGAATGAACCATTATTACTCTTTTTGTTCTAATCCAAACAAGCATTGTACTTCTTTTTAAATCTGTTGTGTGATTAGTGAGAGAAGAAAAAGAGATAAACACTGGTGAGGCATTGTATCAAGAAGGGAAAAGTGACATAGAAACTAAGCTATTGGTGTAAAGCTACATCAACCAACTTGTACTCGAGACACTTCAAATACTGAAAGAGATCACCCTTGCAACCCAAGGGGACTAGACATAGGATTCACATTGAATCCGAACCAGTATAAAAATCCTGGTGTCTTTATTTTCTGCACTTCATTTTTGCATTATTATTATTCTATTCTTATCTCTAGTCAGCTAATTGGTAAACTAGTCAACTACTTAGAATACTGAAAATAAAAATTGTCAATTCACCCCCTTCTTATACTTTCACTCTATGCCTACATGCCAAGTATGCATGTCAAGTGTAATGCACCATAGTGATAAACTCATGTTCTCATGCTCTCAGAGTAGTCAACCTCACTCAGCATGCTCAATCACTCAGTCCTCCCAGTCACTCAGGCCTCCCAATCATTCGGCACTCGCACTCGCACTCGACACTCGCACTCAGTAGGTACCTGCTCTCACTGCTGGTATGTCAGACTCCGGAGGGGCGGATCCTGCCCAAGCGCTAATATAAACCAATCATGGCATGAATCAACAAAGCTTGTTGCGGCATGCATTCCGATCTCATAAATATCACTCACAATCAGGCCCTCAGCCTCACTCAGTCATCATCCTCTCCAGTCTCCCGGCCTCACAAATCTCATACCTATCAACCCAACAATGATAACATGGTATGACAACAAATGATAAAAGAGATCGAGATATGATATGCAAATGAATGAGTATGACTGAGTATGTAATTGCAATTTAAGCAAATAACTCAACAATAGAAATGACCTTAGTGGGTCCCAACAGGATAAGAATATAGCCTAAACATAGTTTCTAACATGGATCACAACTCAATTACTCTAGCATGTTGAAATTTCATGGATAAAAACAAGATTAGGTCACTATACAGTACCACAGAATCAACCGAGTCATAATTCACATGGTGCACGCCCACACGCCCGTCACCTAGCACGTATACTCAGGGATTCATACCCTCAACACATGGTTTAGAAGTTTTACTTACCTCGAACAAGCCGAATCCAAAATCGAGCAAGTCAAACAATACTTTAGAAACACCATCACGCACGTACCGACCTTCGAACGACTCAAAACTAGCCAAAAGCAACTCAAGAACATTAAACAATGCCAAAGGAAACAAACCCAATCGATAAATATGAAATCTTTAATCAAAAGCCCAAATTCAACCAAAAAGTCAAACCCATGTCCGCACCTCGGAACCCGACGAAACTCACAAAATCCGATAACCCATTCAATTATGAGTTCAACCATACTAGTTTCACTCAAATTTGACTCCGAATCGATGTTCAAAACTCAAAATTTTACTTTATGAAATTTTAGACAACCCCTCCACCCCCAAATTTCACTTTGAAATCATCAATCAAATGCCAAAACAAAGATGGATTCATAAAATATAATCAAAACCGAGTATAGAACACTTATCCCAATCCATGTGGTAAAAGTTGCCTCCAAAATTGCCCAAATCCGAGCTCCCCAACTCAAAATATGACTAAATGAACAAACCCTTGATATTATATGTTTCAGCCCAGTTGTTCTGCCTCGTTTCTTGTTCCAAACGATCCCGAAACTCGCTTTTGATGCCTCCAATGGATTCCTTGTAAAATTCCAGTCAAGTTAGGCTTTCGAATCACTCCATTTTATAATGAAGGAGATATGTTGGTTTAAATATTTGGAAATAGTACAGATTTTTAAATATGAATTCAGTGGTAATTTCGTCATTAATCTGAAAAAATCTAGCAACCCAATTCTTAGTAAAATGATCATAAATTTCTCATACAATGTTGAAACTTGATGATTCCAGTTGCTATGGTTCCAAAATTATGATACGGATCTAATGCTTCAATCAAAACTGAAATTGGAGCTCATTTGCTTAATGTGGTACCATTTATGCTTGAATAAAAGACGTTGAAATATCAAAAACGAGCACAACACAACCCAAACCTATCTAAAACTCACCCGAGCTCCTGGGGACCCCGTCCGAACATACCAACAAGTCCCATAACATAACACTGACTTACTCGAGACCACAAATCGCGCATAACAATATTAAAATCACGAATCGCACCTCAAATCAAACTTAATAAACTTTGAATTCTTCAACTTCCAAAACTCGTGCCGAACCTTATCAAATCAACTCGGAATGAACTCAAATTTGCACATAAGTACCAACTGACATAACAAAGCTATTTCAATTTTTGAAACCATAATTCGAACCTAATATCATCAAAGTCAACTCCCGGTCAAACTTATGAACATTCCAAACCTTTAAATTTCTAACTTTCGCCAAATAGTGCCGAAACCTTCTAGAAATATCCAAATAAAAATTTGGGCGTACGTCCAAGTCTAAAATCAACATCCAGACCTAATGGAACCATAAAAACTCTGATCCGAGGTCAAGTAGTAAAAAGTCAAACTTGATTAATTCTTCCAACTTAAAGCTTCCTAGTTGAGAATCATTCTTCCAAATCAATTCTGAATCACCCGAAAACCAAAACCGACTATACACACAAGTCATAATACATCATACGGAGATACTCATGCCCTCAAACTACCGAGCGAAGTGTTAATGCTCAAAATAACCAGTCGGGTCGTTACATGTTCCAATGAGTATCTTTGTACTAGTCTCTTTTGTATAATTATTCAGTCAATTAGAAATTCTATACATACTGTGGATCATGTATTTATATTCAGAATGGCATCATTTGTACTTCATCTATTGAGTATAAAAGGTATAAATAATTTTAGGTCATTAAGTCAAATGCTGATGATTTTCACTTATGAGATTTTCTTTATCATGAAGTTGTTGGGAAAATTAATTCCCCCCCCCCAAAAAAAAAATAATATTTACGGTAATAATAACGGAATAATAGTGTAGTACCGAGATACGGTAATAAACAAGAATGAAAAGAAAAGCAAAGAAACCAGAATTTTTACGTGAAAAGTCCTTCTGCATAAGGAAAAAACTACGGCCCGAGAGGAGAAACTGATTTCACTATAGCAGGGATTTTATAATTTATGGTACCGGATAAAATACTCCAAAACCACTATACACTAAAAAGAAATAACCCTCTTTTGAATTTTTTACCTCACTACAATACCGCTCAAACTTTCTGTATTTTTTCTCACAGAGTATTTTTCTTCTTACTCTATCTGTTTGGTGTGTTTCACAAATGACTAAAGAGCTCTCTATTTATAGAGATTCAATACTCTTGCAGATGTCATCAGTGACGCCAAATGAAAGATAGAAATTTCAAACTTTTCAATGTGAACAAATCAAAATGTCGGCTGCCAAATCTATAAAAGTTGTTGACATTAGAAGTCTTTATCAAAGGAAGAAAAACATCTTCCTTAAATCATAGACCATAGGATGGACCCATCAAATCTCCTCCTCCAGTCGCATGCACCTGAAGGTGATATTTTCGATTTTTCATATAAAGCTCATGCAGACAAGTTCTTTGCATAGCTCGAACTTGTCTCTTGGTATCACCTTAGTCAGCATATCCGCGGGATTTTCACTCGTATGAATCTTTTTGACCTGCAAAGATTTGTTCTTCACTTGCTCACAAATCCAACAATATCTCACACCAATATGTTCTTGCATGGTATATGAAATTCTTTCTCAAGTCTATTATACTTTGACTATCACAATCGACAACATACTCCTTCTGATGCAAGTCAAGCTCTTGAAGGAATCGTTTAAAACATATCATCTTCTTGCCAGCTTCAGTAGCGGTAATGTAATTTGCTTTAGTTGTAAAGAGTGCAACACACTTCTGCAGTACTGTATTTCCATGATATAGCTCCCCTTGAAATTGTAAATAAATATCCGGTACCTGATTTTGTATTATCAATATCACCTACCATATCGGCATCTTTATAGCCCTTAATATTGGATCAGATCCTCCAAAACACAAACAGACTCTTACGGTACCACTCAGGTACCTAAGTATCCA